TAGTTCTTCTGGTCTCAAGGTCCATCATGTCTTAGGGCTAATTGTTTCCAAATACCCTTGTCTTTCTTCACTCTTCTTCACTTCCAATGATAGGAGACCATTAGCTGCATCTTAGATGGCCACTTGAAATCTTTTAAGGCCCCAGTCGCTACTCACCAAAGAAGGTTGTGGAACAAGATTTTTATGAATCTTGTTGTGCCAATTTAGCCTGGTGTCCTCCAGTACCATGGTCCTGAGTCAGCAGATCCAATGGTTCTCTCTCCCATGCTGTCTGACTGTCATGAGGGATTTCTCCATGTCTGTCTTCTGTTGCTTCTGTAATGATTGTAGTTATTTTGTATCACTAGTATCTGTGCAAGGAGCTCTGGTAGCATAGTGCCTAAGGCATTAGACTGCTGACCAGAAGGCTGGCAGTTCAAACCCACGAGACACTTCAGAAGGAAGGTTGGGCAATCTACTTCTGTAGGCATACCTACTCAGAAACCCAAGGAGGGGTTTCTGTGTGTTGCGTCCAACTCCACGGCACATAAGAACAACAGTATCTATGCAAGATTATCCTCAGCTGAATCTATCATTGGTCTAGAGTATATTCCTGTTCACCAACCCCCATCTGAACTTCTCAATTGTTTATGTATTTATCTGCAGCCTGGTGTTTGATGTTAGTGGTAATGCAGTATTTTGGGTATAATGGTATTAACCTCTATCGTCTATATCTTATGTACACAGTTCGGTGTCCTCCCTTTCCCCAGTGTTATCATGCTGGTCACAGACTCTTTCCATAAAATCCCTCCCCTTACCCAACTCAGTGTGTGGCCCCCACTAGTCCGAAAGTTTCTCCTCCATTTCTCTCCCATCCCTGGTAACCTACAAAGTGAGTTCCCTTCCCTAAGCAAACCCTTCTTTGACTTTTTCCAGTAATAGGCTCATACAATATTTGCCCTTCTGCAATTGACTTATTTCATCAGCATAGTGTCCTCTACATTCACCTACATTGTGAACTGATTCGGGTATTTTTCATTGTTCTTTAATGTGGCACAGTATTCCATTGTGTGAATGTACCATTGTGTGAATTTGGATATCCATTCATCTGTTGATGGGCATTTAGGTTGTTTCCATTTCTTCGCTTCAGTGAATTGTGCTGCAGTGAACATGGGTGTTCAGATGTCTGTTCGTGTCCTGTCTCTCATCTCTTTAAGGTATATTCCTAGCTATGGGATTTCTGGGTCAAATGTTATGTCTCTTTTCAGTTTTTTAAGGAAACGCCATACCATTTTCCACAATGGTTGTACCATTTTACAGTCCCACCAGCACTGTATGAGAATTCCAATCTCTCTGCAACCTCGCCAGCATTTGTTATTTTCTGTCCTGTTGAACTTTGCTATTATTGCTGGGGTGAAATGATATCTCATCGTTGTTTTGATTTGCATCTCTGTAATTGCTAATGATCATGAGAAGTTCCTCATGTGCTTGTTGGCCACAAGCATATCATCTTTAATGAAATGTCTTTTCATGTCTCTTGCCCAGTTTTGTATTGGATTGTCTTTTTGGCATTGAGGTTGTGAAGTTTTCTAAAAATTTTGGAGATAAGTCCTTTGTCATATATGTCATAGCAAATAATTTCTCCCAATCTGTAGGTTCTCTTTTTACCCATTTGGAGAAGTCTTTCGATGCACATAAGAATTTAGTTTTTAAAAGATCCCAGTCATCTAGCTTCTTTTCCACCTCCTGAGCATTCTGGGTTATGCTTGATAGTCTATTAATGCTGTAAATTAGGGCCCTTAGATTTTTCCCTATTTTATCTTTGATGAATTTTATAATTTTGGGTTTTACATTTAAGTCTTTGATCCAACTTGAGTTTGTTTTTGTGTATGGGGTGAAGTATGGATCTTGTTTCATTTTTATGCAAGTGGATATCCAGTTTTGGCAGCACCATTTGTTAAAGAGGCTATCTCTCCTCCATTTAATGGGTTTTGGTCCTTTGTCAAAGATCAGCTGTCCATAGATGAATGGGTCTATTTCTAGATTTTCGATTCTGTTCCCTTGGTCTATCTGTCTGTCATTGTACCAATACCACGTTCTTTTTACTACTGTGGTTGTATAGTAGGTTTTGAGATCTGGGAGTTTGAGACCTCCTACTTTGTTCTTCTTCTTCAGAAGTGCTCTGCTTATCTGAGGTCTCTTTCCTTTCCATATGAAGTTAGTAACTGGTTTTAGCATATCATTAAAAAATTTTGTTGATATCTGGATCGGGATTGCATTAAATGTGAAGATTGCTTTGGGTACTATTGACATTTCCATGATATTCAGTCTTCCTGTCAATGAACAAGGCAGGTTCTTCCATTTATGCAGATCCCCTGTAGTTTCTTGTAGTAGTGCTTTATAGTTTGCTTTGAATAGGTCTTTTGTATCTCTGGTATGATTTACTCCTAGATATTTTATCTTTTGGTAGCTGTTGTAAATAGGATTCTTTCCTTTATTTCTTTTTCAGAGGCCTCTTTTTGATGTAGAGGAGTGCGGCTGATTTTTTATGATGACCTTGTAAACTTCCAATTTGCTGAACCTCCCTATTAGTTGCAGGAGCTCTGGTAGCTTAGTGGCTAAGGCACTTGATTGCTAACCAGAAGGCTGGCGGTTCAAACCCACCAACCACTTCTCGGAAGAAAGATGGGGCAATCTACTTACATAGTGATACTGCCTTGGAAACCCAAGGAGGGGTCGCTATGAGTCAGGTCAGACTTGACAGCACTAAACAACAAACAACAAAATTTTTTGGCTGAGTCTCTTGGGTTTTCTATTACAGGATCATGTCATCCCCAAATAGAGATGGCTTAACTTCCTCTTTGCCAAGTTGGATGACTTTTATTTCTCCTTCTTGCCTTATTGCCCTGGCCAGGAATTCCAATACAATGTCAAATAGAAGTGGTGATAGAGAACATCCCTGTCTGGTTCCCATTCACAGGGGGAATGCTTTGAGTCTTTCTCCATTAATGGTAATGTTGGCCATTGGCTTTGCATATATTCCCTTTATTATGTTGAGGAATTTCCCTTCTATCCCTATTTTGCTGAGAGTTCTGAACAGGAACAGTGTTGGATTTTATCAAATGCCTTTTCTGCGTCGATTGATATGATCATATGGTTCTTTTCTTTTGTTTGTGTGGTGGATTCCATTGATAGTTTTTCTGATGTTGAACCATGCTTGGATACCAGGTAAGAATCCCACTTTGTCAGGATGTATTATTTTCTGATATATTGTTGGATTCTGTTGGCTAGGATTTTGTTGAAGATTTTTTGCGTCTATATTCATGAGGGATATTGGTCTGTAGTTTTCCTTTGTAATTGTGTCTTTCCCTGGTTTTGGTAACAGTGTTATGCTTGCTTCATAGAATGAGTTTTGGGAGCATTCCATCTTTTTCTATGTTCTGGAATAGTTTGAGTAGTATAGGTGTCAATTCTTCTTTGAATGTTTGGTAAAATTCTCCAGAGAAGCCATCAGGGCCGGGAGGTTGTCTTGTGGGAAGTGTTTTTTTATGACCTGTTCAATTTCTTCCTTTGTTATGGGTCTGTTCAAGTATTCTATCTATGACTGGGATCATTGAGGTAGGTCTTATGATTCTAGAAACTTGTCCATCTCTTGTAGGTTCTCAAATCTATTGGAGTACAGTTCTTCCTAATATTCTGTCAGTATCTTTTTTTATTGACATAAGTGGAAACCGTGAAGCCTCACCCTTGCTTTCAGCCCTGGGGAATGTGGCCATGATAATACTATAGTGAATCACACTCACGTCCTCCCCAGGCATCTCAGGTAGTTGTCAGACCAGGTCAAAGTGGGCATCCTAAGGTAAACAGAAGGAAGAATTTCAGGACTTACAGTACTCAAGGTGAGGACCCTGAGGACTGAGCGAATCACCCTAATTGGAGAATGCAGAATCCCTCCATTACTGTCAGCCTTGGAAAACCACAGGCATTTGTAGCCAGGTGAGGCAAATGTATATTCTCTGTAAGAGATCTCTGGAAACTGAGGGCCCTGGGATGAATAGATAGGCCATATCCAAAACAGGGAGGACTTCCAAGTTGTTACAGAGTCAGGAGAAGGACTTTGGTACAGAGGCCTCCAAGTAACCCAGGATAGAACAGTCCCACTTTCCTGTCATCACTGAGATAACCTCCAAGAGGTGAGAGCTAAGTTGCTCCTTAA